TTAGACAGCAAAAACCTGCACTACCTTGACTTGGAAAAAGCAGACCAAATGATGTCAGTGTCATGGGTCTAATGCCTCCTGGAATTAACTGCAGGTTATAATAGCTCTTGCCCCTATGCCATTCGTAATTGAGGACCACGGTCGATCCCCAGGCATTCCCACAGGTTTGTTCAGAATCAGATTCACAACCACTCAAAGACATCTAACACCTAAAAAAAAAGAGCACCACGACAATTTTTACTAGTGCTAAACTTATTGTCCATGAAGAACTGGAAAGACAGCCCATTTGAGTCAAAGCATTTAGGAAGTACTGTGAAATTGCAAATGCACAGATCTAATTTTTCAAATCACTTGGCTTGCTGTGAAGCAAGGAAGAAGACAGAATTCAAGCATATTGAAAAAAGCCATAAAATAAAAATTAGCTATGTGTAGGAGATTAACTTAAAAAAATTAACAAGACCAGTAGGACAATTAATAGGTCCACTGGTCCATATAATATTTTTCATTTGCAGTTCATATCTTTCCCAGTCAGTGAAAGCTTCAATGGCAAATGAAGTGCCACATCCATTAAATCTTAGAGATTTTAAAAAAAAATTTTGCCAAGGAATAGGAAATCCCCAGATGACTTGCTGGAAAAACAGGAAATCCTCATCCGTGCTTGGTCCAAAAGCTGTGTGGTTGCTTCATATTATACACAGTTATTTGTTAATGCACTATGTGTTAACATTCAAGAAGAAAAACATAGTGTGGAGGACACTTGGGGTGAGATGCACTTGATGGGTCTGTGAACCTGATGATCTAAATCTGAGACTGCAAAGTCTCAGCTCTCTGGATAGGGTTATAAAAACTAGGGTTATAGGTATAACCTGTAAACCTCACCAACTCATGTCCCTTAGGAAGTGGCTGTATTTGCTTCCAGATACATCCTACACCCCTCCACAGACCCGTGGGTCTTACCTGCTTGGTGTCTGCAGGCAGTAAATGTTACACATCTTTAAAAAAGTATTTCATCTTGCACAACTGAGTTATCATTCTACATTTCAAAACTACTGCTCTAAGCAGGCTGTTCAACACAAGCTCTGTTTTTATTCCAGTAGATTAACTCTCCAACACACAAGGGACATTAAGACACAAAACTGAGTTAATTCTCCTGTCAAAACAGCAGCATGACATCAGTCACTTTTGTGGGGTGTCATGCTATATATTTCATAGTGTCCCAAGTAACATTTGAACACATTCATCATGTTCACACTTTACTTAGCTTAGCTAAAGGAGAGGACTTTCAAGTAACCACAGTGAACTAATCAAACTTCCCTCACTGCTCCTGGGAGGTAATGAGGAATCACTTTATCCTGCCATATTGAAGAAGGCACTCTCCTGGGCTCAAAGATGAGAGCCTGAGAAGCTCATGAAAGGACTAGAAAGGGTTTCATACACCAAAAGAAAGAAAAAAATGAACTAAAATCAGACAAACTGGTTTGGTAGAGTCTCAGCTCACACACTGCACACTTGTAAAGTTAAGGCACTCCTCAGATATATGGCTAAAGAAAATCAACCTTTGAGAAGAGATGCAAGTTCTACTCATCACTGCTCAATTTCTACTGCAAAGATCATCAAGTAATAATGTGCAGGTGAGCAGATCTTGAATTAAGTATAAGGAGGCCAATTATAAGTAGCTATAATGAAAAGAACTATAATTGCACCATCTTAAGTGATCAGTCTGTTCTTGCCTCCTGTTTTTAAAACTGTGGTCTGCAGGTTTTGGGGATCTAGGAAAAAGGTCACCAAAGGAAAACAAGCTTCTTGTTAGATGTGACTTTGTTATAAGGGCACCTGCATCCACCAAGAAAAAAAAATAAATTAAACCTTTAATATTAAAGAAGGATCAAATCCACTTACCTAGAAAAATCCAACTCCTGTTTAATTAGGACTACAACTACCAGAGGCAGTGGCAGAAAAAACAACCTGTAAGATTTGCAGTCATGATCCAGGGAAAGGTCACAGCACAATTCATTGCTGGAAGCTAGTAAGGCACAGGAAGGAAGGGAGGGAGGCACAAGACATTCTTAGAAGTCTCAGACACCCTATTCTTGTTTCTATTGTTTCTTGATAGTGTCTGGAAGAGGTCAGAGTTACTATTCAAGCTTGAACACTTTGCTTGTACATCCTATTCTCTATGCCTCCAATGCTCTCTGTAAAAATGGGGGGGGGGAAGAAACTCCTTTTCATCATCAATGCAATAGTAACACACACAGTAGCACTTTAGCCAGAGATAGAGAGCCTACAGAAGATCTGGAAGCTGCAATTATTTCAGGAAGGACATACAGGACTGAGTTTTTGCCAAAGCACCCATGGTTGCTTTTGCCAGACAAATTACACAAGGATTAACGGCAGCTCAATTTGTTCTCAAAGAGATTTTAACTGAACATTATCTACATTCAGTGAAAAGTTAAGGCAGAGTTTAAGGTTTACATAAATCTCTCCTTCCCTGATTAAAAGCTTCTGTTTCAACAGAAAGTCATGTTTGCTCATGTAGAATGAGTTCAGCTTCATCTCAGTTTGCATGAGCACATGCAGTAGAGACTAAGGCTAGTAACAGACCTGAAGAGTCCACTGCTGGCATTTGTAGCTTCAGCTGTGCAAATCTACCAGGGCTGAAGTCCTGTCAAAACCTTGCAGCAAAGCTGTTGGCTATGCTAGGCTTTCAAACATCAGACAGACAAGAGATAAGTGCCACAGAACCAGTTCCTGATACTCAAGAGGCTTGAAAATTAGTTTCTGAATCTGTCAGCTTTTCAAGGTGCAATGTGCTGGTCCTTGTTGTTCAAGAACAAAGTGAAGATGAACAACTAATCCTGGTTTTACTTTCTTCTGCTGAAGTCTTGAGAGTTTGTTGCTCTGGTTTGGTTTCTCCTTGGTTTTTTTTAACTCTAGTATATTCAAGAAAAGCCTATGCTTTCCCACAGAGCACCTTAATTCTCTAAGCTTCAAGAGTGAATATCAAGAACTGAAGTGATTAAACTGAACTTGTTTACGCTTCTTTATGCAGCTGCCAAGCAATCTTGTGTCATCCAAGACTTCATCCTGTTGTGTTGCTATATACACACACCCCTACTGACAACTTGTACCAGACTGAAATTTATACACACAGGCCCTGGTACAATAATACAATGACTAAAATTACATTTAGTGTCTGAAATACTAATAGGCTTCAGTTATTCATAGGCTAAAAGATTCTTTAGCACCTCCTCTACACAAATGCCAAAATCTTCAGGAGGTGCAATTGTATAGAAGAGTCAACTGAAAATATTTCTAAGCTCTTTTTTTTTTTTTTTTTTAATTAAAAAGTGTACCAAGGATTAGTGCTTTGATCCAGAATGGAAAAAATAAAAACCACTTCTCAAATCTCAGCTTGTGTCTATGTCACTTGTGAAAATAGAAGAGACTGGACCAAAATGCCTTCTGCTAGCAAGTAGTGTAGTAAAAGCAAAGAGACGAAAAACAGCTGTAGCAGTTCAAAACTCATCTAGCTCAGCATCTTAGAGCTGACAGTAGCTATAACAAGATGCCAACACAAAAGTGTAAGATTAGGGCAAACATATGTTGCTACTTTCCTAGTACAGTCTCCAGTACTCCAGCTATCTATGCCTCAGGCATCCTCAGAAACTCTTAGGACAATGCAAAATGGAAAGAAAATACCTACCTGGGAAAGGAGGATGAAAGTATAGCAGAACATACATTTAACACCCACCCCCCCTCACTTCAAATAAATCACATTTATTACTAGCTTTGCTTCATATTTACTGAGCATCCACTCTGGAAGTTGTAGCTATAGCTAATGCCACAGCCACAGTAACATTCCACAGGGACTCACACTGCATCCCGGGAGGCACCATGCTGCAGCAGCAGCTCCACAATGGCCACGTGCCCGTTCCTGGCAGCGTCATGAAGCGGCGAATCGTTCTGGTACCCCGTGGTGTTCACCAGGGCCCTGTACTGCAGCAGCAGCTCCACCACGGCTTTGTGCCCATGGTTACACGCCTCGTGCTGGTGGGGAAATCCAGGAGAAACTCAAAAGAAACTCAATCAGAGGAAAGACTACTGTCACATCAGTTAACACATTTGCTTTCAAACGTCTCAGCAGATGGGTGGGGAAGGGTTAGGGAAGAGCTCAACAAAGGCCAGCTGTGTGCAGATGAGACTATAGGGAAAAAGCCTTCCAGACTACAGATTGTCAGGAGTATTCTGCAGGGGAGGATGAAGACATGGTTGAAAAGAACCTTTTGCTTATTGTATGTGATTCAAGTGAGCAATTTTTTCATTCATCAACTTGATATAATTCCAAAACACTGAGGACATTAAGAACCCATAAGACATAGATTGTTTGCAACTGATTGTTTTCTAGTTACTCTAGGTCTATCTTCTGCATTTGCAGAATTGCAGGCTAATAGATTTCATGGCAGGTCCTATACCCCAGCAAAGCAGAGTTAGATTTGGGCAGGTCAGTATTGCTAATGAATCCTTTTAAACTTGTTCATCATCACTTCTTCACTTTGTATAATTCTTTGTCACCTAAATGTGTGTAAAAGGAACTGAAATATGGGAGAGGAAAGGAGGGATAAAATGAAATCTGATTAGAAGACAGATGACAGCAAGTCGTCTTCAACACTCACCAGTGGTGTCCAGCCAGCATGGTCTTTGACATTGGGATCTGCCCCATTTTTCAGAAGCTGTTCCACAGCTGCTAAGTCACCCTATATAGGAAAAAATCATAGTAATGAAGAAGATAGACAAAGACAACAAATTCAAGAGATGACAAATTATAAATTTAGCTTCAATAAAAATTTAATGATACAAATCTTCCATGTGGATATTGTCAGGATAGCAAAAGCTCAGCTGCTTTGAGGACCACAGTTTATCCTTCCTGTTCATGTAGAAGCACCTACACATTTTACATAAATATGTATTTATAGATAAAAACAAGGCATGTAACAGACTTAATTCAAAATAAATGGAAAAATTTGTGCTGATTGCAATCTGTCCACCAGAGTCAACTGTAAGGATTAAAGTCAGGAATATTTATTGGGAATTTCCTTGTCCTTCAGACTGGATTGTCTTCAAGCTAATCCAAATAACTGGCTGAAAACATAGGCAAAATAAATTAATAAGCCTGACAAGCTTCTAGACACTGTTCTCCAACAAGTCAAAGTTTCATTTAACACTGCAATTCCCACTCATGTTGAATCTCACCAACACTTTCTCTGAAAGTTATTCTACCAAAACAGCTTTAATTTGCTTTTTACAAGAACACTATATTAAGTTTTTACTATAAGCAAGGAAATGTATGTGGAGGGGTGAAAACTGATGCAGAGATTATGGAAAGAGACTGAGATGATGGAAGCAAAAGAACAGAATTTATGAATCAGAGGTTCTGACACTCTGAAAAGCAAAATGCAAGAAAGTTAGTAGTAAGACTGCAGCATATCCACATGCAGCTACAAACAGGTAAGGAAAAGGCTCCTGTGAAAGCTGAGGCAAGGAAATCTCTGCAGTGCAAGACATCTTAAAAGCAGGTGGAAAATGCAAGGCAAAGAGAATACGATCAAACAGACTCTGATCTCCATCTCCTTTCCCAGCACTGTCTGCACTCCAGCATGTTGGTACTTAACTCACTTCATGCCACGTCAGCCTGTTCCTGCTTCTGACATTGCTTACCACACTGCAGCCATCGCACAGGCAAGCCCTGCAGGAAGGGGCACCACGACTTCTGTTCCCAAAGATTTGCTGCCATCCTGGGAATCCTCCACAGCTGCAAGTGCACCAGATAACAGGGCCAGGCTGTACCACACCTCTCAGCCCAAAGCACTGACTTACCTGCACCACTACAGATTAGGAGCAGCTGCACATCATTTCTCAGCTGTAACAGGGAAGGAGGACACTGCCAAGGGTTATCTAATGACCAAAACTAGCTAGATAATGCAAGTTTTTCAAAAACTAAACCAGCATAGTAGGCATCAAGTTTCTGCATGGCTTGCCACCAATGCCTCAATCCTTATTATTTTAGGTTAAAAAAAGTATTTCAAGACTACTGCTAACACTTCCCCTAGACAAGGGTATTGTGAACCCAAATCAAGAAACCAATATACAAACTGGTATCTAGCTCTGGCCCTCAACCAAATTTGCAATATAAAAAATACTAGCATCTGAAGGGGGGAAGAGAAGTTTACCCCATGATCTACAGCAAGTTCAGTGCCTTGAAGTAGTGGAAAGTCAAAAAATTGCTAAGTGTTACTCATTGTGTGCCTTAGACAAGGTGAGAGAATATTAAATTAAGCTTTAACTACAACAAAAATATAATGAATGTGATTCTTTTGTTACCAAGGAATACACTGAAAAAAACAAAATAGCTTTAATCTTCACCCTTTAGTTAGAGAGAAAATATTAAGACAGACTGCTCAGCAGAAATAAATCCAGCAAGCAACAAATCTAGACCCTAAATTCACCAAAAAAAGTGCTAATAATCACTGCCTTTACAGCCATCAAGCAAATTAAGACACCAGAGATAAGTTTCATGCATCATATTCACAATCTAGTGTCCCAACAAAATGTTACCTTTCAAAGCAATTACTAACTGCAGTGTACCCTTTATGGTTGCAAGGTAACACACATAACATCAAACTGGAGTTACTCTGAGGCAGCCAAGACACTGCTCAGCATTAAGATCTGTTTCGACAGAGAAGATACAATTATCTCTAATGAGCAAGATCTGAGCTTATCATTTAAAGTTCAGTTTGCAAACATGTTCAGCAAGGATTTGACATTTCAGGAGTACTCCTTCAAAGCAGGGAACATAGCTAATAATTTGTGTGGGCATTAGATAGTATCACAGCTTTTCAGAACAGCCATGTGAACATTGATTTGTAAAACATTACTGCAGTTTTATCAAAGAAAACGTTGCTGGTGTGGACACCAGTACTGACAACACCCACAGACTTAAATTCAGCTTCAAGTCAGAATTAGAAGATTGGTGTTTAGCTGCTTACAGAACATAAATATTGTCATCACCTCACCTGTAAATAGAAGCTGCTCCCTGCAACCAGCTCCTAGCAATGAGAGTGACAGCAAGGAAGGAAAGCTGTCATGCCTGCTGCACTGTGCAGTGACTGGATGGGTGCTGCCAATCAGGATTATGGGAGATATGCTAACAAAACTGTTCACAGCCAGGAGAATGTGCCTTTTGTCCCCTCAGCGGTTCTTCAGTTGCTTACCATATTGTGAACATTTAACTCAGAAAGAGCAGATGAAATTTTAAGAAACAGATCCTTAACAGACATGATATAAAGCCCCTCCTGCATGCAGGACCACTGCCACAGACCACTTCAGATGAAAAAGACCTGTAAGATTATCAAACTCAACTACAGATGCCTCTGACCTTGGACTGGATCTTCCAGAGGCTGATAACAGGTTCAGATAAGAACAAGTCAAGCCAAATGTGAATGATCCAAGAGTAAAACAAAAGTGCAGCTAACAGATTGACCAGTTCTATCAAAGCAGATTCTATGAAAGCTGATGAAATTACTCACATTTGGAAGTTAAGAAATGTTTTGTTCATCTCTAAACAAGAAGGAGTAAGGACCTCGTAGGTGCAAGTCTCAGCCACAAATATCTCTATACCATATGTCTTTGCACCACAAGTAAGAAAGCAGAAGAGACTATGCCTATTCGTATGGAATTACTGATTCCAACATGCTGCATGAAGTTGTGCTTTGATTTACACTGAAATCAATTTTGTACATTTAGTTCCTTGAGTTTACTTGACCCAGCAATGCCAGCAGGATCCAATACAGAGCCATAACCACACCAGATGATACAAGGAGGGACCAGTGGATCCTGTCTTAGCTGTCTGTAGCAACAGCAGAGTGGAAACCTAAGTGGAGATACTACTTGTTCAGAAAGAGAGAACATGACAAACACCAGGTGGAAAAATGCTAACATTAACAATTCACAGGGAAGTGTTTATTTTGAAATCTCATTATCAATGAAGGATTGCATCCAGCTCCCGAAGAGGCAAAATCTACTGCAGAATGCAGAATTATCCGTTTGGAAGAAACAAAGCAAAGGACATTTGAAGCTTATAACGAAGCTTATGTGTAGTGACAACACAATAAAGCTACGGGTTTGCACTTCCTCTGCAATACAGCTCTCGGGAGCTCGGGAAACCACACCAGCAGGAAAAGCACTGGGGCCATCTGTTGGCAGACCTGGAGCTGCGTTACCTTGCAGACAGAAGGGTGTTAGCACAGCTTCACAAACACCAACACAAATTTAGTTCCTGCAGTCACAGACAGAATAACTCAGCAAACTATCTTCACTTGGCTTGCACAGCGTGGCTGGTTTTCCTTTTTCCTTTTCTCTGAAGTCAGCTGTGTCCTGATTTTAACACAGAAATATATTAAGAACTGCGTGTCCTCTCAGTCCTATTCTACAGGTTTGGTGTGGGCTTTTTCATTTTACCCTTTACAATTTCCATTAACCATAGATATTTTCCACCCAGAAGTCATCAAAGAACTTAGGGGTTGGAATGGATCTTACAGATCATCTAGTCCCAACCCCCTGCCCTGGGCAGGGACATCTCTTCACTAGATCAGGTTGCTCAAGGCTTCATCCAGCCTGGCCTTGAGCACTGCCAGGGTCAGGGCAGCCACCACATCCCTGGGCAACCTGTGCCAGTGTCTCACCACCCTCACAGGAAAAAACATTTTGCTCACATCCAACCTAGACTTTCTCTCCTTCAGTTTGATCCCATTACTCCTTGTCCTGTCACTGCAGTTCCTAACACAGAGTCTCTCTCCAGCTCCTTGTAGGCCCTTCAGATATTGAAAAGTTGTTCTGAGGTCTCCACACAGTCTTCTCTTCTCCAGGCCCTAACTCCCTCAGCCTGTCCTCATAGGGGAGATGCTCCAGTCCTTTTATCAAGCCTCCTCTGGACTTGCTCCAACAGTTCCATGTCCTTCTTATGTTAAGGACACCAAAACTGTGTGCAGTGTTCCAGGTGAGGTCTCAGAATCACCTCTTTTGACCTGCTGTCCACACTCCTTTGGATACAGCCCAGGATTGGATTGGCTTTCTGGGCTGCTAGCACACACTGCAGCTCATGGTGAGTTTCTTTAAGTTCTTAAGCAAATGAAAACATATTCTACCAGTTCAAAAGATCCAAAGATTTAGGACAATACATGAAGCTGGAAACCTGTACCCCTTCAACCAAACACTTCTCCCTTTATTTGCAAATATGAAAAAGTGACTTCAGTCTAGGTCAAACAAATGAACAAAAAAAGCCCCTTTCAAACCCAGAGACTTGCATGTTTAAGCTGGGGGGAACTAGATTATTTACAACTCATAAGTGGTCATAAAGGACATATATGAATTACAGAGTGCTTATAGGAATTATGAATGCTCCAACCAAATCCTTCCAGGAACCAGCAACTTTCTCACCTCAGGTTTCTCCAAATTAATTTCCTACTCAGCATTTTAGTAACTAATATTCATATAAGTAGCTATGTTTAGCCTTTAACAAAGAGAAAACAAACACTTAAGAAGTTTAACTCACCTCAGAAAGAAGAAGTAACAACAAAGCATTATCAAAAAAGAAATGGTAATTAGCATCTTAGCTTTCAAACCAGCACCTGGGAAGAAGGATTGCTCTGACTCATGGTCAGTTTTCATATTCTGAAGTTCTGCATTCAAAAGCATTACACTGCCTCCTATTTGCCCTGAGCTCCCTGCGTGATACTGCCCATAATCCAGAGGCTGCTCACCACTGCTATACCCCCAGGACTAACGTTAGAGACTCAATGTCAAACTACCACTTCAAAGCAGTCTCAGGTTCTACACCTGCACCCAAGTCACCCTGCTCGTTTCTGCAGACCTCGTATCTCTAGGAAGGGAGATATTCCTCCTATGTACGTGTGTGAACCAACACTCACACATGACACTTAGGTACCTGGTACCAAAAGCATGAAACTGCACAGCTGACTAGGTCAGACACCTTTGAAACCAATATTTAAAATATATTCTGATGTTGGCCATCACATGCTCACAAAACCACAAAGTCTTCTTTCACTCTCCTTTCTAATGTGCCATTAAGTGGTAACAAAGCAATAAAAAGGCAGAACAGCCTCACAGACTCAGAAGGAATTATCTAGTAGTTATTAAAGTGTATAATGACCACGAAGAGCCCAGCACAGCAGGCTAGTCATGAATGAAGCCTTTATGAAGGCCTTACTGGTCAGCTGTCAAAAATAAAGGGTCTCTGGAACAGGAGGCAACCAAAACTGGTCCCGATACACCACCTCTGTCTCTTCCTCTAAGTAGATGCTCTGCACAGATGCAATTTCTTCTTCCCTCAGAGCAGGGACAACTCTGCTTTTAATCTGAAGCATAGCAAGCCTTCTCACAGCTACCTCCCATCCACTCCTCGTGCCAGTGCAGCTGTTGTGTTGCAGGTTACTAACCCTCTTCCTGGAATCCACAGTGGCAGCAATTCCACTGTGGACTGTCCCATCATCTCCCTTGACAATGCAGAAAAAGCATGGGTGCAACCAAGACCTGAAACACCGTTTCAAGAAACTAGGGGGGGGTTTCTCTCCACAGCAGATTTAAGACTTCAGACTAACTCGTTAAGCAGCACTGTGCTGTGTTTTAATTGCCATGTAAGAGTTGGGCCTGGGAACAATCTGTTATCTCACTGTAAAAAAATTCCCATGTGGAAGAGCTGTTGATTGGGCAATTTCCCACTAGTTTAGAATATTCAGAGTTGCATAGGTCACATTTTGTGTTTTAACTAATTGGAAGTTTTACCTTAATGACTGTAGAGGAAGATAAACACAACCGCTGTTTGCTACAGGAAGAGTTGCATTTATTGTCATTTATTAGTTTAACTCAGCATTAAGTTCATCCACACTAGAACCTTTCTTGAGAACCATTTTGATTTCAGTGAAGTAATAACTAGTAGTAGTAGTAAATGGGAACAATCCCTCAGACTCGTTTGAAACAGCGCAATACTCTCACTTTGCATGCCTGATAATGTTGTGTATGGTCTCTTAAATAAGAAAAAAGGGAGAATTCAATTAGCTTTAATTAAATTCTGGGTATTAGACCCTAACAGCTAATGAAAATAATACAGATTTATTTTTATAATTAATGAAGTCCCAGAGAATTAGACTTTATTTCACTTTGGAGGGAGGGTGGCAGCTACAAGTCTGTTTCCTATTACACACATGGAAAAACATTCCCGGCTGTGGAAAGAACAAGAAAAAAAAATTGCCTGTAAAACAAAACTGGAAGAGAAATACTCTTTCCAGAAACAGAAAAAAAAATGACAGGGCTCTTTGTAGAAAAAAAAAACCCAAACTAAACCTCACAGTGTGAATATACATACAGTATAAAGTCTGGTATTTTCAAGACCAGTTTCTCTGAGAAAACACTTGTATCAGTTCCATAGCAAGATTCCTACAAGTTAGAAAAGTGATTTAGAAACACACAGGTTCTATGACAGATACTTGCACGCAGAAAAAGTGTCTTCTAGCAACTGCCACCCTCCTCAGCAGGTTCCTGGCAATTAATCACTGCTGTTTGTTGGGCACTGCTTCGAAGTGAGATGTCCCCAAACCCCATGGCCAGTTTCAGAAAGACCAAGTCTTCACATCCTGCTCTGGCTCCACCAACTTCATCTACATTGCCACGGACTAATAACTCTGCCTACATTTACTGGCAACCACAGGATGCAGCAAGTTCTTTGGAACGCCATAATATACCCATGATTGAGCTATAGAACAGGAACAAAGAACACCACAAAAGAAAGATCATCTCTATAACCTCCTTCTAGAGATGAGGAACTGACATATCAAAACATCTTTCTCAGAGTTGCATGGGAAATTTAGTGGATGTAAACAAAGATACGTGCAAGGAAAGTATGACCATAACCAAAAGATCACTTTCCTTGCCATATTTGAGCTGCCTTTAAAACAGTGGTAACTCTGAGATCACCCTGAAGCCCTACCTACCTAAACAAGCCTTTGTTAATGAGCACCTCAATGCAAATAGAACCAATGGATAAAAATCACAGCAGAACTAATGAGGAACAGAAGCCACTTCCCATTTTAGCTTGATCATCATTAACATTAAAAGACAACACCAAAAGGAATTCATACACAGGACTGAAGAAAGCACTTCTGGGTGCCCACCCCCATCACCCCCACTCCAGCTGGAGGTCAGCTTTCTTGGCTGTACCAATGCCAACAAGCAGTGCCAGCGACACCACTAAACTTGGATCATCAAAACATGTTTATCCTTTTTTGTCTACAGCATGAACTGTTTAATTTTTACTCATTTATCTTCAAAATGCTTTGCAATGAAAAACCACCTTACTGGCACATCACCAATATGCCAAATACTCCAAGCCTCACACTAAGCTGCAGACATGCTGCTTCCTTAGATGAAATTTTTGTACTCTTGAGCAGTGTCAGACATACTGCTGGAAACACACCTGTGTGAAAACATGTCAAGGTAGATCAATGTTTTTAGAACCAGTCAGTCATGACAGTATTCATTGCAAATTCTCAGAAAATCATGGAAGGGTAATTTGTAAACAGTGTTTTAACAAAGAGGAATATACAGGAGTTATGACGAGAGGTAATAGGAGATCTGTCCTTCAAAGCTCCTGAGTCCTGTGAGGACAACGTTTCATTTTCTCCTCCCTAATTCCATACTAACGGCATCAAGTGTGAGATTTGAACTCAACTCAGCTCAGCTGCCACTTCCATTTAAAAAGGTTTCGTGCAGCAGGAGTGGCTTATTAGAATGCCTTTGAAAGAGGACACAGTTATTTATCAGGAACAGCCTCTTTCTCACCACGCAGAAGTGCTGCATAAATGTCAGGATACTTACAGAAGAATCAATTCTTCCAGAACAGGCAGCCTATTAACCACCCAGTATTTGTGTATTATGATTTAGCACAAAGCACATTTAAATGGCCAGACTACAAACTCTTTGAAATGACTTCTCAGATGCCATGAGTGCATCTGATGAGTCTGACAAGTTTTACCTCACATGCATGCAGCTTTCTCAAAGTAATGGGCAAGGACTGCCCTTGCAAAGAGCAAAGCTAAAAAGTTCTAACACAGCAGGAACTGGTTAAGACAATAACTCAACAACAAAATCAGTGACAGCTGTCATTCCAAGAATAACATTGATCCTACATAAAACTGAAGTCTACTGAGAACATCTCAACTCTGTCTCTTCCCTCCTCCACTATTCACAAGCACAGCATGCTCAGAGCATAGGGCTGAACATGGAAATCACAGGGTGCAGCACCTCATTCCTCTTGAGCCAATTCTTACATCAGGTGGTGGATCTCAAAGATTACATAATAGTTAACTTCAATTAAAATTGCACAGAGTTATCTTCATGTAGATAACTCAGATCTTAACCTGCCTGAGTTACCAGACCAAGTTAAACAGATCAAGATCAGAAATACTTACTAAACTCCCTATGACAAATCAGAGACAACTCTCTGGCACACAAGGCAAAAACATTTACACGCTTATCACTTCCTAGAACGCACAGGTATAACTGACACTGCAGTGCATTGAGTTTCCATTAATAACCTCCTCTGATCATTCCAATAGTCATTTCTTTATGAAATCCATCAGGTTGGAAACTCCCCAATAAATCTAGAAGAAAACCACAAAATGATAACTGCCCCCTCAAAATAGGATGTTCTGAAGTAACTGGATTCCATGATATTTTCAAAACAACATTGTCTTTTTTAAACCTCTGCTTAAAGCACACAGCTAGAAGATGATGGCCCTACCTTGATGGAAGCAACATGGAGCAAGGTCTCTCCTTTGTAATTTCTTCTGGCAATTGTGTTCCCACCAGGGGATTTTAACACCAAAGGACTGAGTGGTATTGCTACTTGACTGCAAGTCTTAGAAGTAGATGGCGTAGAAGGAGATTTTGATAGTGAAGGACTGTTTGTTGCTTGAAGGACTGCAGAACTTCTTGTCTTCACTCCAGGGTGAGTGCGTTTGGATGCACAGGAAGAAATCTGAACTGGTGTCTGATGTTCAGTCGCTGGAGAGATGGGGGAACCCTGAGGTAACTCCTCTAAGCAATCTGCCTGCCTGCCTGAATTCCCAGTAATGCTCCTCTCAGTTTTCTTTGGTCTTTTAGACTGAGAACTAACCTGAAGTCCAGATTGCTCCCTTCCACGTTTTAAAGGTGTACTTTTATTCTCTATGGACAATGACGTCTCTGTGGCACAACTTGTTTCCCTGCTGTCTTGTGCAGGGCACACGACCTCACTGTTATCTTTCTTCCCTGGAGATTTTATCTGTGGTGGCAATTCTACATTTTCTGTATTTTTGCTGGAGTCAGCTTCCTCTACAGACTCCTGCTGAGGTCCCTCCTCAGGGCTATCTGGTTCTGGAGTGCACAGGACTACTGGTTGACTGCAGATGGTCACACACTTTTCCTTGGGAGTCTTCTTCTCTAACCCTTTCTGCTCAGGCTTCTCTATGCTCCACTCTTTGTTAATGTCTGCTAGCTGTTTCTTCTTCATCTTCTTCATCTGTTTCTGTGTTGGTTTTTTTGCTGGCTTGGAGGGCTTCTCATGAGGAGGAGAAGGGAAAAAATCATAAACTGAAGTTGTGCCTTGACTGAAATCGTTGCTTTTAGTCTCAGGCTGACTCTGGGCCAGGACGAATCGGACCTTCCTACTTCTTGGGCTGAACCACATTTTTATCTGTTCCTTCTTACTCTGTTTTTCCAAGACTGAATCAGTTGGTGTGGATGCATCTTCTGCTGAATCTAAGTGCATCAGGGAAGAGGAAAAATAATTATGGAGTACTCTTCAAACCATCACAAAGCAAAAAAAGATCATCATAACAGCTGTAATAACTGATGAAGTGCTAGTAAATAAAACCTATGGGTGCCTTCATTTCTTCTGAGAAGACACATGGAATGGCTTGAAAACCCCAGGCAAGGTCACATGCCACTCTGGAAGTCAGGGATCCCAGTGCAGCTAGAGCTATCCACTAGGCAAGTGAGCACCCTGGTAGAGAAATTGCTTCAGCAGTGTGTCTGCACACACACAGAGGACTTCCGGCCAGGCCACAAAAGGAGAGAAGTTGGTTCTCTCCCTGAGTTTTCCTTGGAAATAGGTTTACCAAAGAGGTATGTGCATACACAAGAACAAAAACAATTTCTAAAAAGTTCCTCTGGAGATGAAAAAGAATAGCTGTAAACAAGCAAAAATAATATCCTTCTAAGAATGCTGAACATCCCTGAGAAATTCTGACTGATTCCACAGATAGAGCAGATGAATCAGAGAAATAGATAGAAAATCTGTAAGTAAATGTATTCTGTCATTTGATCCTTTACCCCTTGGTAGTAAATAATTTCAAGAAAGATACATATTTTGATGACCTCAAACATTTCTTAAAAAAATATGCAGTGGAGCAGTTTTATAAATCACATTGCACAGCATATTACAAATCAATAATGAAGATGGAGGAATAACCTGTCCTGAAATAACAGCTGAGAACAAGGACTATAAATACTGCCCTCAATGGCTTAAGAATAAATTCAGGAGTATAAAACGACCTCTAAGTTAGACACTAATTTCATTTCACTTTTTTGCTGCTAAAGAACTGTAACAGACTTTTTACTGATTCCTTCCTGGAAGCCAAAGTTACTTTAGGTTACCTGGACCAGTCCTGCAAAGTAAATGCACAACTCATTCTTCCTGTTGCCTCAAACCCCAGGGACTACAATTCACAAAAGCCTTGGTTATTTAAAGCAAACAAACACAAAACCAGTGTGAATTTTGCCTAGTGAGCTAAGTAGAGTATTTTTATTTTTTTTTTTACACAGAACTAAGACCAACATTCAAATATCCTTGAAATAAACTATACAAAGTCTCAATTGTTAAAAATGACAGACACTCACTGCAACAATCTCACTTTCACTTAAATGCATTAACTTCTTTTCTCCATACCTTCTCTTGTGTTGGTGTCAGATCTGCAGCCCATTTTCCAAGCTGTGATCTACCCATAGATAGCAAACAAACCAGCCCCAATCCCTTAGTCACAAAAAAATACATTTGAAATCTCACTTAAAAGCGTATAGCTAGTAATTCAACACTACAACAGACAACTGCAGTTCTCTTTTAAAGCACCATTTTAAAGTTAAATGTTTCCTCAGTCTTCATTTCAATTACTCTATTTATCCCTTGAATTTAAATATGCTCTAGATTTAGCTAGACAAATATGTAAACCATCAGACCAAAAGTGTTTTTAAGACTATACCTTGAGGCTAATCAATCATTTAGGCACCTAAAGATAATCCTCAAGTATAGAACTGCAGCTATTTTGTTTTCCTGAGGGGCTGGGCTTGGTGCAAACAGGAAGAAAAGCACTGAAATTAAGACTGAAATCTCAGAACTAGCAAGGCTTGAGATCATATCCAATCTCATTCTGACAATAACATCTGAAAAAAGGAAGAACTTGATTGCAAACAGATGCAAAATATAAACACAAGTTACTATTTGCTTGTCTTGCCTTCCCTGTTTACACAACTAGCAGATTTCCTTGTAAAATATTTACCTTGCTAGAACTATCAGTCATCCCTAAGTAAAGAGAAAGAATAAATTCAGCTTGCAGAAGTAATTTGTGCAACAATTGTGACGGCTAGAATTCTTTTTGATGTGTATAGCACAGCAAGACTTTAAAGTCCAAGTGACAAATTCAATCACAGGCACTGCCCTTCAGAAGGATGACCTAAAGCAGCACAACACGATGAAGGATTGACATTGGAAGCTCAGGATATGCCCCTCCTGGCAGCAAGAAAGCCTGGGAAAAATCTGTCAATAAGGATTCCTAAACCCCTGGTTATTACTGGCTGCTCAGCAGGGAGTTACTAGCCAGGTGGTTAAAAACCTGCTGAAAATATAGTACACCAAGTATTTCCCAGGATTATTTTTCCTCACAAGGAACTACTTTAGGTGTAGAACTACTTTAGGTGTATGTTGCATGTTTTAGAACAGGGAGGCACTTGTGGAACATGATTAAAAGAACACACTGTGCCAAGGAAATCCATCCCATCAACTAGCCCTGCACACCCAGGCCATCTCCACATCCTGCTGGAGAGACAACTGCACTTCCTGCCAGGCTGTGTGTTACCTCTAAGCCATTCTTCAACAACTCCATCCTTTCAAACACTCTATAACTAACATCAGCTTTACCTGAACAAATCTGTGTAGCACCTGTCAAAAAATGGTTGTTCTTAGTCTCTGCTACCCTGTCTTTCATTTCCAAAGTGTACAAGGCAGAGAGCAAAAGTGAATTGGACAAATGGCCAATCTACCCTCCCTGAAAACAAATCCATTGATGGACCCAGAGCTGTGAGAGAGAGGGAGAGAGAGAGAGAGAGAGAGAGAGAGAGAGAGAGAGAGAGGAGAGAGAGAGAGAGAGACAGTGCTAAGAAGCTCAAAGGAAGTTCTTATGATTTAATATGTAAATGTTAATTCATATAAAGAGGGTATTATCTGGTAGCTAAGTGCATTCACTTAAACTACCTTCAGAGAAAACTGCTCATAGAAAAATCGATCCAAATGAATTCTTTGCTGTCTCCAAGTTGGAAGCCAGAGCTTGCATCTCCACAGGAATGAAAAAAATTACCATCTATGATTTAGACTTATCTTATGATTTAATATGTAAATGTTAATTCATATAAAGAGGGTATTATCTGGTAGCTAAGTGCATTCACTTAAACTACCTTCAGAGAAAACTGCTCATAGAAAAATCGATCCAAATGAATTCTTTGCTGTCTCCAAGTTGGAAGCCAGAGCTTGCATCTCCACAGGAATGAAAAAAATTACCATCTATGATTTAGACTTAATTATCTTTTTAATACATGTGTCCTCCCCAAATATTTCAGAGATGCCTTGAGACAAGGTAAATTAGCAGAGCATGCCTTACCAATTCTAGGTTTTAAGCACCTGCAAGAGTGTAAAGAGCATCCACAGTAACAGTATTAGAATCAGCCTAGAATAAATGCAGTAAATTTACTCTCCATTACCTATTAAAGACAACATTCATATACACAATATATTAACTTTCTAAATTAGACTTATTGCACATAATAAGCACAAGTTTCTGAATGCTGACATTTAATAGAGCTGAATTTCTTCAATGTTAAAAGGGTTGAGGGTAGACAAAAGTATTAGGGAATAGGCAGTGCCTCAACTAGAGCTCTATCTCCAAGTTCTGCTATAGTGCAAAAACAGGCTAGAGCAGAGGTGAAAAAAGCAGCAATTAGAATACGTGGTTTCTCATTAATCTGCATCAAAGGAATATAATGATGCACATTGTGTACCTTTCAAATTATTCTCTATTACAGGTTTCAGAACAGAAGTTGAGAAATCTCTTTGACAAACTAGTCCCTTATTAAAAATCAAAGGGAAGTGCTTTGGTACCATCTGTGTAACATTAGAGCCTTCACTGAAGAATGATTATTTTGCAGGTTAAGCATTCAACACAGGGAAAGGGAGAAATTCCAACTATTCAAAACTGCACCTTTAGCTATTATGAAAAATGTCATAGCATACATGAGATACAATGTAATCTGTTACAGCAGGAGTCCAACACCTTTTCCTCCACATCAGTAAATGCAACACTAAGCCATGATACTATAAAGGCTAATCAAAAGCTGATCACTCCAGTCCACCAGCACCAAAAAAAGCTTAGGAAGCTTTGACCAACACCTGCAAGGTCTAGCTGTGTATGAGAAGAGGGAAGGAAGGTTTTCTGTTTGACTGTGTTAGCATGAAGCAGATGGTTACAAAGAATAAGGTAAAAATCATCTATAAAAGGTGGTTTTGAAAATTTACGACTATCTCTTCCTTTTGAAGAGCATCACACAAAAATCTGCTGAAGTATTTAGAAATTCACTTCAGAATCATCGCTGTAATGCAACCTTCTTCATCTCTAGTGTATTATATACACTGTGTCCATGACTCAACAAATCCTTACTAATTACCCACCCATGAAGCCTATCATCCCACCAACACCAGTTCTCAAGATGTCTTGGATGCTGCAACATTAGAGCTAAAGATTCTGAGGTGCAGATGTCTCATCTGTGAAGGCTTCCAGCCATCCAGCTTCCCACTTCCCTCGAAAAGGTACAACATAGGGCGGTGAAAAGGTCAGACAGCTCTCCTCACCTTGCCACAGACTAAGGATATAACATCCCTAACAAGTGAATTAATTTTGAAACTCTGCATTTTTTTCCTATAGTTTGCATTTTCTACCTATAAATTGTGTTTTCTAGCCAATTTCAGGTTTGTGGTTTGTCACTTCCCCTTCAGTTGCCCCAGTGGCGTAATTTGCTGTGTTTCCCATTAATTTCAAACAGAAGTATTAGCTGTTTTGTGCAGTCTTTCCTGAATTACTTGCAGCTGCTTCTTACAATGCACACGATGTTTGGCAAAAGCTATTCTTATCCCAATGGAATACAAAGTGAGATCCCTTCTCATACCTACTGTGGAACCTCAGGGTACAGGTTATTTCCGTTCTTGTACGTTCAATATGTTAGCTTAACCCTGTCCTTTTCAGTCACAGTAGATTGGGGGGAGGTTAAAGAAAAACAATTTACTGCATTCACTACCTCTGTCACAGACTAAAAAACGATGCACTTGCATTATAAATTTCAGTGGCAACAAGAATATCAAACAGAAGCCTTGAGACAAGCCACAATTGTCTCAAAACAAGGCATATAAAGCAAATATGCAAAATGGACATAAAACAAATATACGGAAACATTCCTTTTTTCAACTGCTTCTCTTCCTTTCCTCCACAGAAAGATTGATTTTTCGGTCTATTTCCTTTACTGGAACATAAAGTACAATTTCTGACCTTCTAACAAAAGAGAGAAGAAAATATTGTTGACAGAAGTACAGTGCTGTGAGAACATGAAAGCAAGTCCCTAACAAGAGAGGACCTGATTCTCTAAACTCAAACACATTTCACTTCGGATACATTAAGTTCAAGGCATACAGCTATGGGAGGTGACTGATTTGGCAAAGATGAGGGACAGAACATCCTAAAGGATTTGCTCTCAAAATCTCTAAAGCTACAACATCCTGTGATTTTTCAACAATAAATTTTTTACAACACATAATAGGTTGTTCCTAGAGTTGTGCTCATGTACTTATGTATCCAAACCATTCCTAACAGTGAACTAGCGTCAGCTTGGGGTTTTTTTCTTGGTATGAAACATCCAGAAGGGCACTGTACTCATCCTTAGCACAGTGCAGGGATTATAAGCAATGGAAAGTCCTCTCCCACATCAGTTCAAGACTTTAGCTCCAAATAAAACACTCTTGTAAACTTCAATTTCGTGTCTGCTTTTAAGTCAGAACAAGGGATGATAAAAAGAACCTCATTTTGTTCTGTGACTTAGCCACATCACGCAAACTTAATCTTAGAAGGACTGTGAGATGAAATATATTATTCAGCTTCCAGTGCAGTTAAATATCAGACCAATTTTTAAAAGTTAATCCACCTGTAAGAGTTCTCCAAATCATCTAACCAAGTATCAATAATACTGTGTTGCACTTTAAATGCTTCATTTATAGCATGACAAGTAACTCCTCTCAGATATTCTCTTTCAAGTGTGTTTTTAAAAGCCTTCATTACTTAAAATGTTTCCCTGAAATCCTATTTAAGCCATCAGCTATGTTTTCTATGCTCCAGAAGATTTAATCAGCATAGGATTTTATATCCATTTAAAATGTATTCCTTTACAGTTGGGTATAGGCTTCCAGCCTGCTCACTTAAATGCATTGTGATGTCAATAAAGACCTACGACACAAATGAATGAAGGTGCTGATGGGATTAGACTTAGAAAAAGAATCTTTAATTTAGACAAACATATTAGGAAGCAACAATGAAGGAAGAATTACCTTTTCTGTATCTGACAGCTAAATGAATGTTTTCTAAAACTCAGTATTACATAAATGCTCCTCTCTGAGCTTGCAGAAGACACATCCATTCACCTACACTTATTTCACTTCGTTTTTTCCTACTTTGACAAACAGCCGAAAATTTGATAGAGATGAATTCCCAGAGTATATTCTCTGCAATCCTCTAGCACAGTCAGCAATGACAAAACTCCATTGCAGGAGACTAGCTGATTGTTAGGGACCAGAAAATAAATGAGTTAAGACTTGCCTCCTTCCCCTTTCAGGCAAGGAACACGGATAATTTTTATCATGTGCAAAAACCCTAAACTGAAAATTCCTGGGACAGCATTCACACCTCAGTGCACAAAAACACTAGAGGCAAGAGAATATATACATTAATTCTTTAACAGGGCCCCCCTAATACAAGGCAGAACATAACACACTGTGGCTCCCCTAAGAGCACAAGGCATGGCAACTTCTGCCCCTCGTTTGTGCCATGTGACTTGGCAGTCTCTCCCACCTCCATCTAATTTTGGAAGACAGATTCTAATGAATTATGGACTAACCTGCTGATGTGGATTTCTTAGTAAAACAGATTCAGAGAACAAGCAATCCATACAGACAGTTCTCCTGAAATCAAATTTTCCAAACATGATTCAGAACAGCCTCTCGGCATTTTAAACAGGGCTGCACTGCTCATTCCCTGTGAAATGAAATGGAGCAGCCTGGACCCTGCAGCTGTCAGACCCAGGTGACTCCTACCTGGGGTGTCTGCACCCAGTAGCTGCCGCAGCTTGCTGCAAAGCTGAATCATGTTATCCAGCTGCAGGTTGATCTGTGCATCTTGCACCCAGGCTGGCATGTGGCACACGGGGCATCCTGTGCCAACACAGTCACCCACACAGGATCTGAAAGGCAAATGAAGAATCCATTATCCAGTGTAAGTTATCCACTGTACTCCCTTATCAACCGTTCCACAGCCAAACGCTCAGCATGAATCTCTTATTTTAGCAGTGACAAACCACTACTGTAAAGTCACATGAGTTAGTCACAACCACAGGACAGGACATATTTATCATGGCAAGTGACAAGTCAAACATAATTAAGCAAGCCAAGTCCAGAGCCTTGTCAGGACACTGTCATGGAAAACATGGTATCTCGCAACTTCCAGACTCATAAGCTCACCCAAATCTTCAAGACATGCTAAAGCCCCACTGCTATTTGCCTCCAGGTAACAATTAGGCTCAAGCAGATAAAACTACACATTATTTTACACCTCAGCTAGAGGCAGAATTGTTCTGCTGCAGCCTCCCATTTTTAAACAAGTGCCAGGAAGCCAACCCACAGTAAACTATCATTTCTGCTTTTTCCTATTTAAAATCTTCCAGATATTGTGAAATTTCACCTGTCTGAACACTTTCCTGGATGAAGTCCCATGAGGATCTGCAGGTGCTCAGAGTATTCTATCACTGCCCTTTGAGAGCATTTATGCCAGAGGATTGTGGTGGGGAAACAGATTTACCCAGTTAAGGTCATGTAACACTTACAGCTTCTTAGCAATACTTCTCTCCCCGTATCAGCCTCAAATCTTTTATTCTTTTCATTAGGCCAGGAAGAAGACCTTATGATTTGCCATCTGAAATGCAACATTCAAGGGCCATTGTTCCTTCTCATCTCCAATCTATCCTATTAAACATGGGTTATAGTTTCACAGACCCAAGACTGAATTAATTTCAAGTCTCCACCACCTTACCACTATGTAGCACACACAATTCCAGACAAAGGTATAAAATTAAACGTGAGCAGATCATGTGAAACATTCAGAGGAACAAAATGCAAGTAATATCAAGGCACTGCTACCTGGAGAGGAAGATCAAGACTCCAAACATTCATACACTCCAAAACTAATAACATTTCAGTTAACAATACCAAAATCATCATCACCACCACTTCCCATAAGAAGGCGGCGATTTTCAGATCTATTCTCTGCATCAGCATCTCTCCCTCAAACACCACACACATGTCACATCCTCAGGAAATCTGGTGTGTAAAAATGGCTGCTAGGTGTGTTTTGTGCTTTAAACAGCCCGCTCTGAGCAGGAAAAGGTCCTTATGGCTGAGACACTGCTGTGATAGGGAAACTGAAGTACAGTTCTTGACTCTGACATATTCCAGGTGACATTGACAAATCACTTTGAGCAAAGAGAAGGACCAAACAGGTCTCATTTTCTAAGCAAGTTGGCCTCAGGTTTCCCACACCTGTAAAAGGTACTGCAAAGGAAATGCAGAATGACATTTATACCTCAACACTTCCTAATTACTTCTAGCTGTTGGGGTTTTATAGTTAACACAATGACTGTAGCCAACCTAGTAGAGCTACTCAAGACAAAACTGCAAAAACTGATCATAATAAATATCCCTGTCCATAATAAAACCATGCTGAGGGAGGACCAGGTATATTAAGTGTGGCCTGATTACTGCAGTTCATTAGTTTGATATATTTCACTGCATGTATCAGAAGGCAGCTCTGGCCATTCACCCCACTCCTTCCCAGGGGCATTAATAAATGTCTGTCTTCAGCAGTGGGTCAGGATCATGAGAATGCTGCAGATTGGATCTGGGCCCTCCTAAATTTGCTTCTCAACAAATTAATCTAAATTTCCTTGTGTTTATTTTAAAAAAAATAGCTGCTATTTAAGGCTCACGTCATCAAAGGGCAAATGAAATTGCTGCTAAAAGGTCAGGCATACAAAAGAGAAAAGATCAGGTGTAACAATAACTCTGGTAACAGCAAATAAAGTTTTTCTGGAGCAAGAAATAGCTGCTAACAAGAGCTTAAAACTCCTATTAGCTATTCTTTCCAGCCTCATCAATACAAACTGCATTGTCTTCAGAGGATTGGGAATTTTTCCTTCAAAAAAGCCACAAAACTTCAACAAACAGTGGGCGTTTGAAACCTATCACCTAGAATACACTGGGGTTATCCAAAATAAACCCACAAGGCCTTAGAAGCCCAACAACTATACAATTAGGCTTATTAAGCCACACAACCATATTTATAAATAACTTGCACAAGCTGCTGGAGTTTATTTTATGAAGTAATCTGTACACAGATCACATAAATGAAACAAATAACAAAAAAAATCCTTCAGACAGCAGGAGGACCTTAAAGAAGACCTTAAAACTCATCTCATTCCACCCCCTGCCATGGGCAGGGGCACCTTCCACTAGACCAAGTTGCTCCAAGCCACATCCAACCTGGCCTGGAACACTCCCAGGGATGGGGCAGCGACAGCTTCTCTGGGCAACCTGTGCCAGTGCCTCAGCACCCTCACAGGGAAAAAATTCTTCCTAATACCTAATCTAAACCTGCTCTCTTTCAGTTTGAAGCCATTCCCCTTGTCCTCTCACTACATGCTCCTGTGAAAAGTCCTTCTAGAATTTTCTACAGCAATTAATGGCCACAGCTGGGAAAGAACCCACATGTCTGGATAGAAATAAATGATTTGTGTGTCTTTTAATACATCCATATTGAGGGAAGAGATACTTAGGGCATCTGTCCCGTAATCAGTCGCTCCTTAAAAAGCAAGAAAATATTTTGCTTGTACTTTTACCGTCAGGCCTTCAACACTTGAAGCTCCCATTAGAAAGGTGCAGCTGAAGGCAGAGGGAATACCCATCAGGGGGAAGGGTTTTCCTCCACTTTGATTAACATAGTGATACAGTATTAACAAGAGAAAAAGCTGAATATCTAGACTGGCTTACAAGCAGGTATTACAAGGTGTCTGTCCTCTCCACAGTAACAAGTGTAGGATTTTAACAGACTGCTCACATCTGTGCTGTGCATAGAAACTGTTTAAGATATATATGACTGACCTTTTAACTCCTCATGTTTGCATTTGCATGCTGTGAAGAACAATGACATACAGGACAGCCAAGAGGTTCTACCACCTTCCCAAAAGAAGTCTGGAGCACAAGCATTTCAGACTCTGCCTGTACTGATGCTGCAGCAGTGCTCTCCTAAAACAGGCCACGTGATTACCACCTACTCAGAACTGTCTGGTTAGCAGAATGTTTCTAACTTACCTCAGGACGTCCTGAGCTAACTTACCTGAGAACTTCCTTGTGGGAAGGGACCCACAAGGATCACTGAGCCCAATTCCAGGCCCTGTACAGGACAGCCCAACAATCCCACCATGTGCCTGAGAGCATTGTCCAAACACTCCTTGAGCTTTGTCAGGCTTGGGGCTGTGCCCACTGCCCTGGGGAGCTGTTCCAGTGCCCAAACACCTCTGGGGGAAGAACCTTTTCCTGATGTCGAACCTGAACTTGTTCCAGTGCCCAAACACCCTCTGGGAGAAGATCCTCATCCTGATGGCCAACCTAAACCTGTTCCAGTTCCCAACCACCCTCTGGGGGAAGAACCTTTCCCTAATATCCGGCCTAAGCCTTCCCTGACACAGCTTCATGCCATTCCCTTGGGTCCTATCACTGGTTCCCAGAGAAAAGAGATCAGAGGAAGTTGTATAGAGCAATGAGGTTTATTAAGCATTCAGATTACTTGACAAACTGAAACAAGAGGTAATCCTGTTATCCCAACGTGTCTGGATGGGCATGAACAGAGGAACAGCTAGGGAAGCAGATGAGAAGGAGCAAAGGCATTAGTACAGCGGGAGGTCAGAGCAGGGACCAGCAGCACCCAACCCTCTTGCACCCAATCCCCTCGGGCACAGCCAAACCTCCTTGGAAACGGGAAGCATTTCCAGGCCACTCTTCTTCGTGACGAAGGGAGAAAGAGGAAGGAACTGGAGACGATGAGCACACAAGTTATTTCCGAGTTGCGCCCACTCCAAGCGGGCAAGCCGC